GCAGAATAGGTTCTCAAAAAGGGCAAATTAAATTGAAAGAAAATAAGTTTAATCAGTAAATCTGCATAAAAAATGAGATCGCAAAATAAATTGGTTGCATTTGTGTCTTTTGAGAAATGGAGTTCACTTACTATGGTTTTTGTGATGATTTTGCCTCTTTTCATATTGATGAGTGTTGCTGTGATCCATCCATCCTATTTGTCTGATAATATCGCTACTCAGTCTTGAAGTATATGCTAAGAAGCTACCCAAGCTTGACAGTGTACTTCCGGATCTTTAGTTTAGAGAAACTTCTACATAATTATGATTCATTGTGGTTGGTAGTGAGAGTCCCAATGAAGAACATTAATAAGAAGTTGCATGGACATCAAAGAAACTTTCTCAAATATCATTCTGCATCAATCCAGACTGCTACTTTGAAGAATCTCTTTGATAAACACATTTGCGACTCATATTTGATCGTTTAGAACCATTAGGATTTTCAAAACTGAAATTAACATTATTGAACAATTTTTAGTACCATTTATCTCGACTAATTAACTGTGTCATTAACTAACTGATAGATCAACTATAGTAGAATCATTTAGACATTATTTAACTAACTGTCTCATTAAACTAAACTCTTAGTAAACTCGACTTACCAAAGCGATGGTGTGGTAAGAATCGAAAAGAAATCACTTGGCATTGTGGAAAGGTCCGACCTTGATGACATACAGGGACCTATTATTGGTTCCATCAGCTCCAGCCCTCTGGTGAAGACGGCACTGTGAAGCACTTGGCCTCGGAAGCATGCTTCCGAATGCAATGCCAACGGATTGCCAATACAACACCAAATCTTGAACCTTTCATCAGCTCCCACCCTCAAGCCACAAGCCAACACCAGCGCAAATACCTCCATCTTCAAGATCCTCGAACCTAAAATCCAACAAGGAAAGCTCCAAATCAGCTGTAAAATTCATGCATTTCGCTGACAGAAGAGACCTTTCGAACCAAAAATGCTCACCTTTGTTTCCGAGTCGAGTAAGACCGAACGGGGCGATGGGATTCAAAGAAGATGAAGGCACTTTGTCTTCTCGCCCCTCGCTTCTGTGCTCCCTTCTCCTCTTCCTCGTTCATTTCCTCTCTTCTCTTCAAGAAACAACCGTCGTCCATGGAGCCCGTCGACCTTGTTCCGAGTGGCTACAGGGGCACACCCATCACTGTCCACGCTGTCGCCTTCGCTGACGTCTACAGGACCGAGCGAGCCGTGGAATCTTCTTGGCAGCGATCGGCAGGAGGGATACTTCGGACGGCTCGCGCGTGGATCGAAAGGCCGGCACCGGTTCTTAGACTCTGGACAAAAAACAAGAACTAGTCAACAAAGGCGCGAGATGGTGGTGAGGTGAAAGAGCAGCCTTTCCTTCAACGACTACCGGCAGAGGAACTCCGGGTGGACAATGTACGAATATGAGATGTGTTCTTCCGGCTTATTTGACATTTGTTTTGATGGTGGTTTATAAGGTGGACTCAACTGTTTCGATGGTGGTGCCGTCGGAGATGGCCTGATGCAAGATCTTCATAGAACTCGTCTCTCGAAACTGAAAGAACACATCTCATCTCGTCCATCGTCCACCCTCTTTCGCCGGCCATCGTTAAAGGAAAGTTCGCTCTTTCGCCCCCACCCACGATCTCGCGGCAGCCGACGGTTTTCTCGCCGACTTCTTGCTTTTTTACAGAGTGGAAGAACGCATTCGTAACCTTAGGGTTTTTAAAACCTAAGAGGCTCGCTCGGTTCTTCCTGGGCCGCGATGGGCTGCCGGGACGGGCTCAACCCAAGTTCTTGCTTTTCGAACGTGGACTCAACCGCTTTGATAGAACCGGTACCGGCCTTTCGATCCATGCGCGAGCCATCGCTGTTCTCGAACTTGCGCTCCACAAAGAATCCCTCCTGCCGATCGTTGCCAATAAGATTCAACGGCTCGGTGCCGTAGACCGAAAGCGTGGCCAGGGAAGGAGGGCGATCCAGTTGGTGAGTCGTCGACCACGAGTTCCTCCGTCGTGGGAAGGAACCCGTCCAATTTGGATGGTAAACCGATATGCGGAGACTTCCCTGCTACGGATAGTTTGAATTATAATAATAATAATAATAATAATAATAATAATTTCTTTGCAAAAACCTGTGGGCATATAAATTTGTCCTTAGCAAAACCTGTGGGCATATAAATTATCCGTAGCAAAGATTTGCTTATAAATTTCACAACGTAGCATATTACAGCGATAGAAATGATAAATTAATTAATGCCAGCAATAGCGTTGCCTCTTCGCCACTTTAATGCTGCCTCTTCATTATTTTTATAAATTTTTTAACATAAATTAATTACTATAAATAATATATTACTTTATTATTAACTTTTATGTTTGTATATTATACTTTTAAAAATAATTAAATTTAATTTCCTTAATCATGTGGATAAGTTAGGAATTATACTAATCAATTGGATTATTAATTGATTTATTTCCTAATAAGTGATGTGATTTTTAGGAAGTAAATGATATGCATTCCATTTTTATATGTGAATCTTTATAAATAAATATTATATTTTTGTCTTTTGTAAAAGTAAAATAAAAATTAAATTTAAAATAAAAATTAAATTATTACTTACCTTTTTAAGAAGATCTCATCTTCTCCTATATAAAGGGGGCTCCTCCTCTCTCACTCCACACCAAGCCTAAAAATGAGAGGATTGACGAGAGAACTTCTCGATGAGATGATCTCGAGGAAAAGATAGTCAAGGAGAGGTAAGATCATTTCTTTTCTAATAAACATTGATTTATATTTTAAAATCTTGATATTATGATTGTTAGATGCATAATAATGTTTTAATTTCAAAATTTTATAATTAATAAATAATGATAATTGATTTGTGATGTTAGAATAATTATTTGATTTATATTGATTTCTTAAGCTTAAGTGAATTTTAATATTGATTTAATTATTAAATTCTTATTTTTAGATTAATATAATAGTTTAAATTTATTTAATTAGATATATCTGTGTTTTAAGAATTATGTATGAATTTTTATGATTTAATTAGTTTTAAATTTAAGATCGTGAATTTATTGGTCAGGCATGACCCATCCCATGTGGCCAAGTATGATCCAGTCCATGTGACCATGTATATTCCAACCCATGTGTGGTAAGGTACGACCCAACCCATATTGCCAAGCATTACCCAACCAATATGGCTAAGTACGATCCAACTTATGTGGTCATGTACGTCCCAACCTATGTGACAAGGTACGATCCAACCTATGTGGCCAGGTATGACCTAACCCATTTGGTAAGGTATAACCCAATCATATAGTCAAACATGTGCAAGCTCATATGACTAGGTACGACCCAATCCATGTGGCCAGAACAACTCCAACTCAGGTGTCTAGGCTTGACCTAACCCACGAGCCAAGCATGGCCCAGTTCAGTGGTAAGGCTCAGCCCAACTTATAAGTGAGGCTTATCCTAGTCTATAAAGTTAAGCCTACCCAACTATGCGATTGGCGTTGGACACATCGTCGCTCATCTATTTAGTCTGTTGTACCTCAACTCAACCTATTACTTGAACAAGCATGTGTAACGCAAATGACTCATCCAAGACTCAGGTGGGTTGGTTTAGTTTGGGCTAGCACTATATGACATAATCCAATTTCCTTTTCCTTTATTGGTTTGAGCTCATCAATTAACTAAATCAAACATGGGTTAATGCGAGGTCTTCTTGACGTGATGGAGAAGTTGTCTCTTGAAGTCAGAGGAACACATCTCGTACTCATAAATCATCCACCCGGAGTTCTTCCACCGGCCATCGTTGATGGAAATGAAGCTCTTTCATCCCACCACCATCTCGCGCCCGACAATGGACTTAGACAGGTTCTTGTTTTTTTTTAGAGTCCAAGAATCGATGTCGACCTTTCGATCCACGCGTGAGTCACCGTTGTTCTTGGGCTTGCGCTTTATAAAGAAATAGCCCTCATGCCGATCGCTGTCGAGAAGATTCCACGGTTCAGTGCCGTAGAGTCCGTGAAGGCGATAGTGCAGCCAGAGAGGGGTGTGCTAGTGACCCAATGGGCGAGGTAGTCGACCACAAGTTCTTCCGCCATGGGAAGTAACCTGTAGCCTCTCGGAATGAGTTCGATAGGCTCCATGGATGACGGAAGACGGTAGTTGTTTTTCGAAGAGGAGAGGAAATAAAGGAGAAGGGAGGAGAGGCGAGAAGACACTGAGTGAGAGTGAGAGTGGCAGAGGAGAGCGATACACGTATACGTATACAGAGGCAGGCAGTGGGTGGGTTTCGGATTCCAAATTAATTAGATTAACTTGTATTATATATTTAATTAGAAATTAAGGTGCCTACCTACATCTCGCAATCAATGTTAATGATCATACAACTTGTAACTTGCGGTATTGCTTCTCACTTAGATCATTGTCATATATATCATTATAGATCATATAGATCATTATCATTATCAAGGATATGCAACTTTTCAAAAGCAAATAACAAGTAAAATTGCACATAGCAATATGTGGAGACAACATTATGTACCACATGCAAATGCAAACTTTATTTTGAAATTAAATTGCAATGTCTGCTATATTAGATCAATTGAATGGGAGGAGAAATGAGAATATCATATACTAATGTTTTGGAGTCGCTACTTAAGAAGCAATACGACAGGTAAGTTGTATGATCACTAACATTGATTGAGAGATGTATCTAGGCACCTTAATTTCTAATTAAATATATAATATAAGTTAATCTAATTAATTTGGAATCCAGAATCTGTAATCTGAAACCCGCCCACTGCCTCTATATATGTATATGCGTATCGCCCTCCTCTTCCACTCTCACTCTCTCTTCTCGCCTCTCCTCCCTTCTCCTCCTTTT